TGCAATAAGCATGGCCAATTGTTTGATTCGCTTCTACATTTCTACCTGCTTGCACTCTACCTCTGCAGTCACTACACATGAACATGTTTTGGCGGAGTGGCTTTGGGATTTTTTAGGTTGGCTACTTTCAAAATCTAGCTGTCTCTTGCCAGTTCCCCAACATTGCCTATCCCAGCTTTACGTCTAAAATGTCATTTTTAGTAGTTTGATAAATTCAGGCCTTGAACTTAGCTATTGCTTTGTTTGCCTCCTGCAGCATGACTACTTCCGTTGGTTGCATGCCTTGTTTGAGAAATTTTATAGGATTCCTGTGACACTGTTTATCTCATTCACATGGCTTTCCTCACTACAGGTTACTGGTGGAATTATACACCAACTGCACCTTTGACTGCACCAATTTAAAGGGATATGACGGGGTCATGAGACAGCCTCATGAACAGGTCTCGTGAAGGGGGGGCGGCTGGTTCATGAGGGGTTGGGGGCTGGGCCTGAAAAACATAACCCGAGGAGCAGTTTCTCGCTGATTACTCATTGACATTTTCCTGCCTTGTGGGATACATCTATTTCTGACAGTTGCTCCTGCAGTGGGTGTGTTCAGCGGCATGTCCAGTGCCACTCGTCATGTTGGCCATGGCTGTGGCTGGGAGGAACAGCTGTCTGTGTTAACGAGGCCAGAGCCACACAGACCAGCGAGGCGGCGGTGCTCGAGCAGACTAGAACACCACTCAGGCTCCATAATGCCCCGGGATACATAAACAATGACTTAATGAGAATGCGCGCCATTACTGTAATTAACACAGCTCATGTCAAGCACTGTCAGCTTTCAAGAGATTCAGGAAGGTCTTACGTTAAATTGAAAATGCTGGCATGCAATGACCAGTATATTCACAACACACCCTATACAGAGCATAAACACACTCAATAAAAGAGTACGTAAAAAGATTACTATTAAAACACCAAGCATATATGTCACTATCCACAACATATAACTTGTATGTTATGATATACTGTATGATTACATGTTAATATATATTTTTATTTAAGTTGAGAGTTTTACATTTTTTGTATTTTGGTCTAAAATAAATCATCTCACTCACGGATGCAGTTTGTATCTAAAGGCTACTCGGCCACTCACAGCATGTAATGTAATGACATGTTAGTTTTACTTTCCTTTTCATTATTGCTACTCTTTCTGGAGATTCTGTGTTTTTAGGACTAATCTGACCACATAAGAGCGAAACACAAATAATGGCTATTTTTCAAATGGCCATTATTATATACATTGTAGTATATTTATTATTTGTTTTATTTAGATTTTTTAGATAGAGTATGCTGACACAATATCCTGCTTTAATGGCAAATACATCAAATAAAGGAAGCAACATAATCTTAATATGCTACTCCTTTCATCCACGAGCCAGATGGATTTTGCAAGTTGTATTTTGCAAGATAGTATCTGGTCCCTTATTCAGAGTATTTAGAAATGACAGACCCACATAAAATGTCAGTGGACCAAGCAGCATTAAACAGAATGTCACGGCTTGTGCAAAGTGGCCCTCTCCACACTCTGACCGTGTTGGACTCCATCCCCTGTATTAGGTCTGACTTTTCAGCGAATTACCGTACTTTTAGATACTCAAAACCTATGTCCAAACCAACCAGCAACCCCCAGGTCTGAAAAAGGGAAGCCAATATGGAAGTTCCTTAAACCCTGGATTTCTTTATCCTTGTTGCAAAAAGGAGTTCAAGTCAATGAGGAAATGAACCTACACTTTTCTAATGAGTTTATGATCTCAATCGCTAGTTTCAAGTGTTCTTCAAAACAGCATGAGGTTTATTTGGTAAATTATGGTCCGATTATGAGTAAAATAAACTATAAAGCTTTAAGGTGTGGCTACCTTGTGATTGACAAGTTGCTACCATGGTGACCTGTCAATCAGGAAACAGGTAAATTGTATTCCCTGCACTGTATAAATTTAACCAGCGCGGCTAAAAAAGCGTATTTAACAGCGCTGCATTTAACTAGTGCTGTCAGTGTTCATCTAAGAACTTTCACACTTTCACAGTTTGTTTTCAGTTCATGAAAGTTAAGCTTGATTTATACTTCTGCGTCAAATCTACTGCGTAGCCTACGTGTAGCCCCATACCCTATGCCTTAGCCTGACGTGCACCTCTCCAAAGATGTAACTACACGTCATGGCGACGCAGACCCCAAGGATTGATTTGCACTTCCTTCGAGCCCACATTTTGGCTGCCTAAATATGACTTGTTCAGTGTATAGTTATACTATATATGTACTATATAGTTAAGGTTTTTGGCAAAATTGCCCACAGCCCTCTGACTGATTTAAATTCTTTATATGAGGAATGGACCATCAAGAAGGCACGGTCAGTCTTGGCCGACGCAAGTCAACCCCTGAACAGCTATGTTGTTGCCGTCTGGCCGCAGATTCTGTCTGCTTAAATGCAGGACAAACAGACACAAAAACTCTTTTGTTCCTGCTGCTATAGGCTTTTTTAATAATTCAATGTGAGACTTCTGTGTAGTATGTATTTATTTTTGTTTCTTACTGATGGTGATTGTTGTTTGTATATGTGTTATTTATGTTACATCCTGCTGCTGCACAACGAATTGCACCTCTGGGATAATAAAGACTTGAATTTGAAGTTGAACTAAAAGACTGTTTAGTGCATTATCCATAGAGTTGGTTGATAATGCCATGATAGAGTAGATGTTTTCCAATGATGAGCCTGTTTTTCATTAGCCACAATTAGCATCCCAATTAATATCACAGTTAATGTGAGTACAGTACAGTTGCTTCTTACTAACCATGCTAGCAAGCTCCACCCTCCTATCCAAATATGGTCACATCTGGTCACTACTGGTTCCAAAAAACAAGTTGTCGACTCAAAGCTTTACAACTCTTTACTGACTCAAATTTGTATGAGCCACTTAGTAGATTTCTAGTTAAATCATCAACAGATGGCATTTCAGTCAATGTGTTCTACCTCTTTTGATCTTCACATGAATTGTTTAGTGCATGCAACCAAAGCCCCCCCTCAACTGTCACTGGTCAGTACTACTCACACAACAAATAGAAACAAGAATACCATCAAAACCAAAATCTTGTCCTTTCACCACAGATTCTGCATTCATATTATATGCATATCTTTATAGAGATTAGCGGGGTGAGGGAGTGATTTGTGCAGCCCGACCTTCAGCTCAGGCCATGGAGCAGGCTCAGGGCTGGGAGGAAGCAATTTCTAGAAATACAGTTAATATAAGAGTTATACAAGAGTGTGAGTGACACATGGTCTCGTCTTGTGTTTGCAGTTCGCACTAGTAGCAGGTAGGAAGGGCGAGTCAGTGAGGTAAGGATTTGTGACTCCTGAGTCAGTAAAAAGAGTTGTTTGTTTTGAACGATTCACTCGTGTCTCACACATCACTATTGACTTTTGGATTTGTAAGGAGCGGTGCCAGGCTGATGATGATCTATCACAAAAATTGTAATTACAGGCTGATTCAGTCAGTGAGTTAGCACCGTCTTGTTTGTGTGTAAAATTGATTCCTCTCTATCCACCTTCTCTTTCCACCTCTGCAATTCAGTCTAAGATTTATTGATTGAAAGTTAACAAATTTATTCTCCATTGTTTACTTTCATATCAAAAATGTAACCTAAATTCATTTCCCACAACTCATTTGGTCACTGAACTATTTCATTCCTCTCTCATTCAATCCATGAGGATGACCTGATTAAGATGAGTAGCGATCTGATATATTTTCCCAATATTTTTATGTAACAGTATTTGAGAAAAAAGAAAAAGAAAAAGAAAAAAGAAAATAGATCTCACTGCTTGTCCGTAACAACAGTAAAAATAATATTAGTCAACTACTATGGCTTCAACCGGTGGCATTTTACGCAAGGTATCGAATGAAGTACTCTATTGGTATCAATATCACTCTTTGGTCCTGCTATTGTAAAATTTGAAGCGATACCCAACCCTAGCTATAATACTTCTTCCTGAGTGGATTATGTAAAAAAAAGCCTTTGATTACAGTCTTAACTGAACTCTAACAGGCCGTCTGGTTATTCCTCAGCTCTCCAAGAAATCTGGTGAAACTTTACCTTTTGTGCTCTAAGCTGCTGAAACTTCCTACCAAGTCATGTTTGGTGTGCCCTAACGCTAACATCTTTTAAAAGCAAACTCAAAACATTCCTTTTAAGCAGCACCTTTCAGTAGTCTGGTTTGCCTGTCTTAACAAATATCTTATACTTATTTATTACATTGTTTTTAAGTCATGTATCTTAATTTTATTGGTCAACTGTTGGTCTTAACCATTATTTTATTTAGTCTTATTTTATTCATAACTTTCACTGGTTTTAATTCATGTCTTATACATTTGTTACTGGTCAGTTGCTTGTCTTAATTATTGTTTTAATTTATTTTTATTACAGCTTTTCTAATGGTTTTTAACTCATGTATTATTCATGTGTCTGTTTTAATTGTTTGCTTATATCTATTGTGTTTAATTATGTCTGATAATTTGTCTTTACACTATTCACATTGTGCTTCCACCTAGAATGAAATTTTATTTAAACAGGGAAAAACAGACTGAGACCAGAGTCTCTGTTTAGGCTGTGTATACACAAGTTAACATGCACAGTAGACGCACAAACAAGTAAATATATATAACAAGTACTTAAAACATACAAAACCAAGATGTTCAATTCAAGGGAAACACTTGCAAACAACAACAAAATGATTCTCCATAACGTTTTTTAAAATGGATTAGTGACACCAGTGTTTAATTGCTGCAGTTTGTTCCATAAATATGGAGCGAAACAACTGAAAGCCGTCCTACACAACTCTGCTATATAAAGTTATACGTTTTGCCTGCTTGCTTATATTTGTATTAAAATAAGGTTGCATAGAACTTTAAGACTATTTAGAAAAGTAAAAAAAAAAATTAAAATTCACTATGAAACTTATTTTTCATAGATGCAGCCAACCTTCACAGTGAGCTTTGGCAAGCTGGGGAAATTGCATCTCTTGATAAAGGAGGTAAGTGCCAACTGTAGTCTAGAGAAATGGTTAACGTGTTACTGTGATGCCTCACCAGATTTAAAACCACGACATTGTGACATTTGTTACATGGTGTGTGTACCTTAGACGGTTGGGCCACCAATACGTACTTAAGAATGGCTTAGTTTTATTCCCAAATGGTCATATATCTGTGCATGTACTGAACTAGTGCAGTGCCCGTTCACAGGGGCCGAGGTGATGCCTCCCTGTGATTTTTGATCAGAATGTGCGACTAACATTGGTTTCATCTGCAGCGGCAATAATGTGGCCTGTAGGCCATATAAATAAATAGGCTATGTAAATAAATAAATAAATAAATACTTTGATGGCGGCTGGTGCTGAAATAGATCTCAGTCATGACAGAAACAAGTTCATGGCTAGTTAAATGCAACACTGTTACATAAGCTTTTCAACACATAATCACTTAAGTAAGTGCAGCACATTCTTTATTGTGAGCATGTGAAACGTCTCTTCATAGTTAATTTGTGGAAGAAGGAAAGAAATATGTTCGCTCAATGGGGGACCAAACACACAACCCTCTGATTGAAAGGCTTGTGCACAACTGACTGAGCTAAAAGGACACCCAAACTTATTTGCCGACCCCTGAACTACAGCATTAATAACACTGAAACAACATGACCGTGGCAGAGATACTGCTAGATATTCAGCGCTTCCTTAGAACTTCATAAAACTCTTACAACTCCGTTTCAACACATTCATTTCTAACACATATCAGGCCTGTGTGATGATGAACTCCATTTCAAGAATTCACTACCACATCGGAGCATGTAAGCGGACCCTGCGAGCGCTGTTGCAGAGCTCCACTCAGATCTTTTCTCAAGTATATTTATTTATTTTGAACGTGTTGCGTGATCAAATTGCACCAAACACGACACAGCAACACACCCGCCACGTTTGAAATCAATTTGGATGAACAGTTTCAGGTTCCTGACATAATCAAAATACAGACAGACACACACAGAATCCTGTCTTTATTAGAGAGATATGCTGAGCATATGGATCAAGCATCATCTTCAAGTGTGGTTTGAGAACTTTCTACAAATATTTTGATGCTCTTCTTTTGTTGTGATTCTGGGCCATTCCATTGTAACTGCTGTAAATCCAAATGGACCACAGCTGCCTTCCTCTAAAAAGGAGCAAAATACAAACCTTTCAGCTTTTGAGCTATATTGTGTCATGATGATGTGTAGATGTTCCTTTTAATACACTGGAGTGCCTGATTATTACATCTGTTACTCTGGTTTGGTTTGATGCCTCTGTTGATCTGGGATGACTTAGCTGAAATGACAACAAAAGGTATTTTGTAGTGTGGATAAAGATGCAGTATGTGAAAGTATTCTCTAGGCCTTAGTGGCTGCTTTTGTCACGTTGTACTGTTATTTGGGCTGGTTGCGGTGGCAACATCATCAGTTGGAACAGTGTTTTTGCAGGGAGGCAACATTATTAACAGTTAATCATGGAGTGAAGTTGTCAGCGGGGGTGGCTGCAGTTTTCATAATGGCCTAATTTCTAGCAATCGCAGACTAATTATCTGCATTTGCAATTGTTGTGAATTGTCTTTATGACTATGCAGGAATGTTTAATATAGAGTTTATAGTCCAGAGATGAGTTGTTGCATTATGTGTTTGGAAAACACCACAGGGCATAACTGCCCCATAAAGCTGTGACATAACAGCAGCACAATTGAGAAGGTAAATTCTTAACAGAAGTCTATTGATGCCAGTGCTATAATCAGGCATTGTGTAGTTGTGGATGAAATACAAATGAGAAAGAAAAGAAAAACAGTAATTTGTACAAAAGAAATCATTACATTTTGACTATCTGTCAAAGCTCAGACGGCTACAGCAGGACTATAGTGAACACCGTGCTTGCAAATATCAATGCAGCAAGTCACGCTTTAGACACGTCTACGTCATTCTCAAAAACAAAGGACTACACAGTCTGTCTTCTTTTTAATTTAATATGTCTATAACAAAGTTAAATTTAACCTGACTGACTAACTACAGATTTCAGCAGATTTTAAGGTCATTCTTTTATTACTCTTTTTGTAATTTACCACACTCAATAAGTGCTATTATCTTGTTAATGTATTATTTAATATAAAATATGATATAATGTTGATCTATTGCTTTTAAGAAACAAAATATTTAATTTTGTTTGATCTAATCAGTGAAGCCTAGACACTTGTAGAAATATATGGTTTAACACATGTTGGAGTTGACTTGGTTTGGTTGTCTTGGTCATTTCTACTTCATACAACAGTGTAGTAAGTTTCTGACAGTGAAAGAAAGGGCAGAGAGGAGAAACAGAAAGGAGAGGCAGAAATGATGTAATGGTACAAAGCAAATGTGGAATAATTTGTTTATACTGGCCTTTAGTGTTGCAATGCAGCCAGCTACTTTATTTCATTGATCGGGTGATATTTGCATCGTAACGTTCAATTTAGATTTACTGTTGTTTCACTGATACTCGGGTACACTTCTTTGCTGGTCTCAGTCGCTGTAACTTGGGCTACGTGACGCACATAATATACAATAATGCATCATAAAGGTGCGAGACATCAACAGCAGTGGAAGACCCAGGAACTTTACTTACTGCGGTCTAACTGTTATAAAGTGTGGCAACAAACTCATTTATAATATTCAGTCTAGCTCACTTTTTTATCATCTAATAAATTCTAGCTACGCAGACATTGCTGAGCCTGTCCGGTGAACGATACACAATGCTTACATATCATGTCGGCTTAATTCAGTGAATGTACCGTTATCATGCAATGAACATGGATTAGTCAAGCTGATTAAAATATTACTTTTCATACATACTGTAACATTGCTGTGCGAGTTTACCTGAGTTTCCTGTATTTTATGCGACGCTGTCTCCGGTGTGTTAGTTTAAGCACGTGCTGGAGTACACGCTTGAAAACCTAGTGGTTGCAGTCTGACACCTCACCACTAGAGGGCCCTGAAAACTACACAAAGCCCCTTTAACTTTTTATACACAGGTTATAGCAGATTTATAGGTGTTATAATTGTTGAAAAATACATTGATAAACACTTAAAATGTTCTTGTATCTGCTTACAGCTGCATTATAGTATGTTATAAACCATTTATTAAGCAAGTAAATATTAAAGTGATACTGTTCAGTAATTTAGATATTATCAGATTATCAGTTATCATGTAGATATAATCAGTCTCCACGGCAAATGAAAGAAAAGTTTGTAATGTTATGGTTTAATTCATCCCAAACTCCTGATACAGACCATCAGCACTATATTCCAAAGTATCTAGTCTAGTCCTATAGAGTCCAATTTAATCCTAAAATGGCTTCACTAGAACTGAAGACTGACCACATCGTCGAAAATGTCTTCACTTGGAAGACACACATTGACACTTAGACATTCTTTATTTACATGCAAAGCAGTAAATGGAGTGCTTCCTGCATTCCAACAATTGATTACTTTGCACTCAAAGAGGTTGTATATCCTTTTAATTAGTGTAGATATTTTGTGTCTTTTTTCACTTTTCTAGCAACCGTGACAGGAGTTTGTGTTGTCTGATGTTGTTAGCCTTTGGTCACAAAGGTGACAATTTCTTTGAGAAGTTTAATCTTGCTCCTTCTGTATTTCACCGAATATAATTAGCTGTTCGGAGACAGTAAAAACACTATTCAGCAGTTTATTTCACACCTATAACCAATGTTTCCATCACTTTTGTATTATGTTTGTAACAATGACTGAAATTTGTGAAAGGGTGTAGATCCTACTTTGTACGATGGGACTACAGTGGACTCGCCTGTACTGTTCACAGCGCCTTTTCTTCTTTCTCTGTCTCTCATTTGCTTTATCTCTGTCTCTCTCTCCCTTTTCACCCCCCTCACATTCTTTCCTTCAGAGAAAAGAGGGCTACGCATTAATGAGTCAGTGCGGAGCTGTATTATGTTTAATTAGGTAGTTTATATAATGAGGTGTTCATTTCTAATGGAGGGACATGCTGTGAGCAGCACATCTGCAAGAATAACTCAGGCAATCAGCGGCATGAGGACCCATGGAACTGCAAATGAGACTTACTTACTCAGAAATGAATTATGTCTCAGTGCCTTTCCCAAAGCCCATTAATTAAATCCACTGGCATCAAGGTCTTTTTCTTAATTTCATGTACCATTAGCATAATAAACACAATTTGAGTTAGCACAATGTGATCAGTTTAATGGATGCTATTTATTTTACTTTATTATTTAAAGCTCTGGTAATGGGGGGAGAAACATAAATATATCTCTATGGCTCCCTCTATGAAAATCTCCCATCAGGCCCTGGCGTCAACACAGATGCCTGTTTCAGTGGCCCCGTACATTTGGAGAGCTGCGGCTGCCCTTATGAGTGTGCAGAGTGGGAAGGTGGTGCATGGCTATAATTCTAGGGAACTAGACTTTAGTTCAGTGTAAACTCGGGCCAGGTTTCACCTTCATTAAAAATGGGCCTGCGGTCTTATATGTCACAATCTCCTTACTCATAATGTTTGGTGTTCCGAGGTGTACTGTATTCCAGCGTATTTTTATTTTTTTTGTTAAGCGAGAAAAGAATTAGGATTTGGAGGCATTTATACACACGGGGTATTTGAGGCGTAAGTGCAATCTGTGGCAGGAATCCATGCACCTTCATTAAAACAATACAAGGACTTAATGTATGGTAGGGAATTTGTTCTGACCTTAAAGCGATACCCTAGAGGTGAGATATGATTAGCGTTATTGTTGAGGACAGGTACATCATTATCTCAATGTACCTCGACCATTGCCAAGTTCCACAGCCATGCTCCATCCTCTGACTCTAGCACAAGACATAATCTCTTCTCAGGAGCAGAAATGCACTTAATCATCTACTCAAGTTTCAGGGACTGCCCCCAAGTGCTCTCTGTCTAGTAGAACTACGCTACTAATGCCGCTCGGCAGAAATCTGCAGCAA